TAGAATCTGGTTACCAGACTTGTAATATCCTTTATCCCTTCTCCACACATCCTTTTCCTCCCCCAGGAAATATAGCTGCTGTGAATAAAAAATGGATCTGTATCAGAAACATTAAAAAACAAAAAATTATACTCACTTCCATAATCTGTTGATATATTAATGGTTTTCTGTGCAACCATGTTCTCAAAATAGTATATAGTCCCAGTGCATGTGTAGTCCTTGTTGGGTGATAAATTTGTCAGTATTCCCGTATGTTCTGTAACGTTTTGGATATCTTCCCCATGTTAAAATGCAAAGTTTCATTAATACTTTTTCATAAACCCAAAAATTCTAGTTAACATTTTTGGTGGGATTTTCAAAAGAGCTCAGCATTGACAGTGAAGGTTGACTTCAGCAGGGGCAGTGCTACATTAATGCTAAGTGCTTTTGAAAATCCCACCTTTAAATATTTTAATGTTTTACATTCATAATCTATTCCTTTTACCTTGATAGATATTAGATAAAAAACCTGTGATCAGTTTTCAAAAAGGGAGCTAAATACATGACTTGCACCACTTATTGTATTGTACCTCCTTCATTTAAGATTAAAGGCTCTGTTTTGGCTGTGGTGATTTACACATTTACCATTTCCCCCCCTATACATCTCCCCTGAGGTTAGAGGGGCATGTTCTATTCAATGTATCCTGCTCAAAGATTATCAAGATACACAACCATTTGTATACATCTTCCTTGGTGAAGAAAGTCTAGACATTATGAATGTGAATCTGTATTTCAAGTAGAACCAATTATTTTCAAATATGACTTCCAAGGTGATTTCTTGTTTCTTTGATTCACTCAACACTATTAATTAATTGACTAAACTGATAAAAATGTAATATAAATTGTACATGTAGCAAAATTTATGTTTTTGTCAAAATTGTCCAAAAAATTTGGCCCAAGCCAAAACAACAAATATAATTAAAAAGAGTTAAATTCTGGACTTATTGAAGACAATGGGATTTTTGCCATTGAATTCAAATGGGACTAGGATTACACCCATAGTGTTCCATTAAAATAAAAGAAAACAATACAACAAAGATTTCCTTTAAAAATTGTTTAGTTAATATCAACTAAAATCAAAAATCAAAGCCCAATACACTACTCAAAATCTGGAAGTGTAGAATCTACTAGATGATTTTTCTCTAGTCTGTTTTCTATTTCAAGCATTATAATTTAGTCTGCATAACAGGTTTATCTTATCTTTGTTTAGAAGTTCCCCAATCCCTCAACTAGCTTTCCATGCAAGTCACAGGAGAAATTAATAGAGCTTGTTGGGAAAATTCTGATTAAACATTTTTTCATCAGAATTTGTTGAAGTCAAACATTTTGCTGAAATGGTTTGATTTCAAGGAACTTCTGATGGAACTCAGGCAGGTTTTGAAACTGGCCCATTGAACACCTCACTGGTTTCCTGTCAGCCTGACAGGCTGCTGGGGAGCCTGAGTTTCTAAGCTCTGCAGCTCTGGGGCAGCCCTTCTACGTGGACGTTCCCAGAGCTGGGGACTCCAGGGCTGCCCATCACTGAACAGCAGTTGTGAAACTCTTGTTAACTTGACAAGAGTCTGGTCAGTTTCATGGCTTTCATTCAGTGGTGTGCAGCCACAAAACCGACCAGAATTATGTCACTTTAAAGCACCAGATACCAAGGTTGTCAGGACCTCTCCACTGCTGCAGCCCACCTGGCAAGTAGCTAGGCATCCTGCGAGCATATTTCATTTCAGAATTGCCACCATTTTCATTGTTTCCAAAGTGAAAAATTGTGGGATTTCAATTCTACCAACATTTTCAAAGTTCTGGTTTTTGTCCCAATTGAGGGCGATTTTTTTTCTGAAACTGAACTGAAATTTGGTTTCCCACTAGCTCTAGAAATTAATTATATCTCATGGGATAATTTAGAAGACAGGTTTTCTATGTGGCATTTTCTTTAAGTTCAAAGTTCATAACAACCATCTGGTCATTAGTTAACATTCTCAGGTAAGGTCCAATAGTATATAGAATAGTATATATATATTTTTAGTTCCCATACAGTATCTACTACTGTCCATCCTCTATCCCTCTTCTCATACTCTGTTTATGAGGGAATGTTTTCACACCTCCATATTTTTATAAATATGCATTTTAAGTCTACTCTAGTATCTCAGTTTATGCTGACACTTAGGATAAAAATGATATTTCTTGCTTTAAATTTGTCCATTCACCATCAAATCAAAACAAAAATAATTTAAAACTGTAACTTTTAAAAGGTACAAAAAGTTTCCTACCATTTTCACAGGCAAAATTGTAGGCCAAAGAGCAATTAGATGAGTTATTCCAACGCAGTTGTACAGATGTATTGGTTATTTCACGGCTTTCCAAACTGTACCTAGCTCCATCTGTGAAGAAGGATTCGTGTCTTATATTATTGTGACATTTTCTGCAATGTTATTTCTTTTCATACCAATTAATTATGTTCTTGTTTGGTGACTCTACTGTTATATAAAATATATACAAACAAATGACACCAAGTAATACATTAAGAAATTTAACCAACAATTAAAGGATTAACCAAAAAAACCCAGTGATTAAAAAATAATATAAATGTAACTGAGTGAAATTAATGTTGGCCTTTGAAATTCTAAACCAGTAGTCCTCATGGAACACAAGGGATGTTACAAATTCTAAGTTTCCAAATTCAAAGTTTCTGTTATACCACATTCAAAGATAGCATGGTTAGATTTTTTTTTTTTTACAATGGCAAAAATTTATTTTTTACATTCTATCTTAACTCAAAAATGCCTGAAAATATTTTGAAAAAATTTTAAAACACAAAATCTCTTCTAGAGAAAGACCAGATATGGAAAATTTCAGCCTGCTTTTCAGAAAAGTATAGACAGGGAAAGACGGGGAGGCCCAGGAAAGCTGAACAACTTTATAGTTGCTCACACTCTGTTGAGTGCCAACTTTATGTGGCTGCAAAGATGGGAGAAGAAGTTGCAAGAAGCTTTTCCTGTCCCCCGTAAGGGCCAGACATGCTCTGCTTGAGGAAGTTCCACTTCAACACACGGGAGTGTGACTGGCACAAAAGGAACAATCAGCTGCAGTTTGAAGGGTGTAACAGCAGGTGCACTCCCTTGAAGTGCCATGGAATTGAGAACAAATTCCTCCCCTCACTGCTTCAGGACAGAGCACCACCCATATTGCCCCTTATTATGGACTGTATTTAATGTGAAGAATTAGTCCTGAGTAAATTCGGAGGTGTGATAAATCCTTTGTAGAGAGTTCCAGTGTTTCAGGGATTTGTTTTTCCAATATGTGGAATTTTGTGCACTGTAATGCATTCCAAAGGCAGAAATAAATTATTATTATTAGCCAGTGATGAAAGGGATGTATCCTATCATCGCAGGGATGATGCAGCACTATCAACAAACAGGCTGAATTTCACCAAAAACAAAAAAATCTTTCCATACATCCTTCATTATTATTAAAAAACCCACTTTAATTGTAACATTACTATTCACTTTTCTATTGAATAGTGTTTAGTACTATTGCTTATATCCATGATGGTTTTGTTCCTCCTTTCTTTTTCCTTTTGAAACATGAAACCAGCTCCCTTTCTGCCTAACAGTTCAGCAGGATGAGAAATGAAAACAAAGATAAAAATTTCAGAAGGCTTGAAGGCCCAGATCCTCAAAGGATCAAATGATTTCAATGGAAGTTAGGAGCCTAAATACCTTTAAGGATCTGGCCTAAGTGATTTAGGATACTAAATCTCATTTTTCAAAGTGGCTTAGGCACTTAGAAACCTAAATCTCATTGAAAATCAACGAGACACAGATTCCTAAATCACTTATATTCTTTGGAAAATTTTACCCCAGATTAAATTTCCTCATTCTGCATCAGTCCTGAGACCCATACAGAGGACTGTCCCACCAGGCCAATATCCTGGCTATAGAGGAACTATCCCCATCCTGGTTATAAGCATGTGAAAAATAGAGTTGGCTATAAAGGAAACTGTTTTGGGAAACTAAACTGTAGTGGTCATTCTCTATCTCTGACTAATACAGAGATGTGAGGGAAGAAGCGGGAGGATGTAAAATACGGTTACAGGGGAAGAGAAGGCCAGCAGCAGATGAGGAAAGCTTCCATTCCTTGTTTCCACTGCAGATAGCTCTGTACAATTGGACCTGATATAAAGGAGTCTTATAGCTTAAGTTACAAGTCTGGAGGCCATCTTTTCAAACTCATGCCTATTATGTATTGTATATCTGAAGAGTTTATCAAATAGAATTTCCCCCACCATATCAGTCACTAAAGAATGTTTTGCTCTTCCTGCACTATGAATCTAGAGAGGAATGGGTATCATTTGGCAAGCTATATAATTGAACATAGAAAACTAAATAAAAAAATATTACATGCTACTCACACCACTCAATCTGCACTGGACTACAGAAAATATAATTAGGGTGGAAAGAATTAAATAAGAAAAAGCTCAATACACCTTTGTCCCTGAAAACATAATTACAAAGTCCAGTTTCTTGATCAACTGTCTCTAAGCCATACACCTTGTGCAAAGAAATATTTAAAACATACTTGTGTGTGACCACTCAGAGCTTGAAAACACACAAGCCTAATCAGGAAACGTGCATTTCAAATTAAGATAATATTTAAGGTATTTGAGGGGGCAATTTTTCAGGACTCCATGCATAACACACTATTTGTTCTTTGAGCATGTATACTGCATCACTATTATATCATTTTCATTGAATGGACATGGGGAGAGGTGTAACTTTGTGCTTTAATCAAAGATTAATGATACCAAAACTCAGAGTCTGAAGTCTAAGGGTATAAGAGAGAGGAATTTCCAGCCCCAAACAACACTTGGAGTCCACCCAGTCAAGCAGCAGATTTCTGAAACTCTGCACCAAGAACATAACACAGTGTTTGCTAAATAAAACCTCATATTGAACAAAAGCTGTACTTACCAGGTGGGATATGAATTACATGTGATGATATTTTGGGGCATTCATTATATCCAACTGTAATGTTATATGGCAGACATTCCTTAAGTCCTTCAATAGTTTGGTTTTTCACCTTACAAGTGGAGTTGCAGAAAATATTGTATGTTCTATTTTTTCCAGGAATGTTCAACTTTGCAGTGACTGTGCTACCACTGTAGGTATATTTCACATTAATATCAATTTTTTCTAAAAGAAGGGGAGAAAATGTGAAAAATGGATTTATAACAATTTTTCTTACTTTTTTTTTATACTTCAGCTAGAGAGTTACTGATCCAACACTGTATCCTGCTCTCCAGCATAATTTGTGCTTTAAAGACCCCAAGAGAAAATATTAGAGCTGGTTGAATTTTTTTGACCAAAAAGTTTTCTGGTCAGAAAATGTAGTTTTGTCAAAATAGAAAATTTCCATGGGAAAATGTCAATGTCTATGAATTTGTTTTCAATTTTCCAGTTGGAAGAATCAAAACAAAACAAAAATCATTTTGAATTGACATTTTGAAACTAAAGGAATTATTTTTATTTTGGAACATCAATTCAAAATGGAATTTTTTATTTTGACACGTTGACTAATTTTGTGTGAATCAAAACTATTGAAATTTTCATTTCACCATTTCTGATTCAAAACTTTTCATAGTTTTTCATTCTGAGATGATTTTCAATATTTTGACTTTTCATTCCTAATCTGAAGGGAATGTAGTTTTAAAATGTTCACATTTCCTGCAAAAGGAAATGTTCATTTTTGAATTACTCCTGAAAACATCTGTTCTGGTGTATGAAACTTGGAAATGTATTTTTCTACTCCCCTGACATATGAGGAAACAAACAAACCTGGTCTTTTGAAAACATATTGTTGCCGGACCAATTAATAACTGCAAAACATTATATATTCCAAACTGTCTACCAAATAATTAGATCTGGACTCTGCCTATGAATTGGAGAAACTTGTCTAGTTTGAATTAGTGATCAGCCACTAAAATTTGCATTCATTTCCTCTCTCACATGGTGTAAAATAAAATTATTGCAGAAAAAAAGCTTAGAGAGCCCCTTGGTGTTGAATAAAACCAGACTTTTTTCTCCTTTAGGCAGACTCTGCTCCAGCACTGACGTGTAATTAATAGCAGCAGCCTAGTGCCCGATAGGATGCCTCAGCAGAGTGGGAAATGGAGAGCAGAAAGTCAGAAACTTCGAGGAAGTTTAAAACAATTATTCTAAAATAGTAACAACAAGGAGTCTGGTGGCACCTTAAAGACTAACAGGTGCCACCAGACTCCTTGTTGTTTTTGTAGATACAGACTAACATGGCTACCCCCTGATACTAAAATAGTAAGAAAGCTTAAAAAACAACCTGAGATAGGAGCTGATTTGGTTTATTTGAGCATTTAGCTGATCTGAGTGAAGTGGAGAGAGTTTCTTTCTGGTTTGAAAAGTTTCATTTCACTTTTATTAAGCATAACTTACCACAAGATATTGGAGTTGTCACTGTAGTAGTTACTGTAAAAGAAAAGAAAAGAAAAGAAAAGAAAAGAAAAGAAAAGAAAAGAAAAGAAAAGAGAAAAACAAATTAATATCATAAGGCAGCTTTCTACATTCAGTTGTAGAGGACAGTGACTGATAATATGAAAAGATCTGGTACATTCAATACAGATATTTGTATTTCGATCTTCAAAAATAGTTGAAAAACAGGGAAGAAAATTCAATGAAATTTATGCAATAATTCCCACCATTTTTAACCAACTCTATTAGGCCTGGTCTACACTACGAGTTTAGGTCGACTTTAGCAGCGTTAAATCGAATTAAGCCTGGACACGTGCACACGACGAAGCCCTTTCTTTCGACTTAAAGGGCCCTTTAAACCGGATTCTTTACTCCACCTCCGACGAGGGGATTAGCGATAAAATCGTCCTTAGCGGGTCGGAATTGGGGTAGTGTGAACGGAATTCGACGTTATTGGCCTCCGGGAGCTATCCCACAGTGCTTCATTGTGACCGCTCTGGACAGCACTCTAAACTCAGATGCACTGACCAGGTAGACAGGAAAAGCCCCGCGAACGTTTGAATTTCATTTCCTGTTTGCCCAGCGTGGAGAGCACAGGTGACCACGCAGAGCTCATCAGCACAGGTAACAGTGATGGAGTCCCAGGATCGCAAAAGAGCTCCATCATGGACCGAACAGGAGGTACGGGATCTGCTCTCCATATGGGGAGATGAATCAGTGCTAGCTGAACTCCGTAGCAGTAAACGAAATGGCAAAATATTAGAAAAGGTCTCCAAGGCCATGAAGGACAGAGGCCATAACAGGGACGCACAGCAGTGCCGCGTGGAAATTAAGGAGCTAAGGCAAGCCTACCACAAAGCCAGAGAGGCAAACGGAAGGTCCGGGGCAGAGCCGAAAACATGCCGCTTCTACGCGGAGCTGCATGCCATGCTAGGGGGTGCAGCCACCACTACCCCAACCGTGTGCTATGACTCCTTCACTGGAGAAACACACAGGGAAGCGGGTTCGGGGTATGAGGAAGATGAGGATGAAGATCATGTAGATAGCTCACAGCAGCAAGGAAGCGGAGAAACCGGTTTCCCCAACAGCCAGGATATGTTTATCACCCTGGACCTGGAACCAGTAACCCCCGAACTCACCCAAGGTGTGCTCCCAGACCCTGAGGGCACACAGGGGATCTCTGGTGAGTGTACCTTTGTAAATATTACACATGGTTTAAAAGCAAGCGTGTTTAATGATTAATGATTAATTTGCCCTGGCAATCGCGGCCACTACAGCTACTGGAAAAGTCTGTTAACATGTATGGGGATGGAGCGGGAATCCTCCAGGGACATCTCCAGAAAGCTCTCCTTCATGTACTCCCAAAGCCTTTGCAAAAGGTTTCTGGGGAGGGCTGCCTTATCCCGTCCGCCAATGGTAGGACACTTTACCACGCCAGGCCAGTAGCATGTAGTCTGGAATCATTGCATAACAAAGCATGGCAGCGTATGGTCCCGGTGTTTGCTGGCATGCAGACAACATCCATTCCTTATCGCTCTTTGTTATCCTCAGGAGAGTGATATCATTCACGGTCACCTGGTTGAAATGGGGTGATTTTATTAAGGGGACATTCAGAGGTGCCCATTCCTGCTCTGCTGAACAGAAATGTTCCCCGCTGTTAGCCACGCGGTGGATGGAGGGGTGAAGTGATCATCCCAGAGAATTGGGTGTGGGGGGAGAGGGGGGTTAGTTGGGTTTGTGCTGCATGTTAACCCGGAAACCGCAGCCCCTCCTTTTACATTGCAAACCCATTTGAAATGGCCAACCAATGGGTGCTTGATCTGGGAAATGAGGGCGCTGCTGTTTGAAACCATTCCCACATGTTATGAGGGTTAAAAAAGCCAAAAGACTGTGGCTTACCATGGCTGCCTGCAAGCCGAAATCTGTTGCCTGGCACTGCGTGAGTGATCTCTCACACCAAACCGGCAGGCCCTCAATATAAGAGGAAAAATGCGACCTTGTAACGAAAGCACATGTGCTGTGTAATGTGAACAGCAAAATGTAACGTGAAAAAGTGTACCCATTGTTCTCTAAAATATGTCTTTTTTAACCACCTCTCCCTTCTCCTCCACCAGCTGCAAATGTTTCTCCTTCACAGAGGCTAGTGAAGATTAGAAAGAGAAAACGTAGGACGCGGGACGATATGTTCACGGAACTCCAGATGTCCTCCCACGCTGACAGAGCACAGCAGAATGCGTGGAGGCAGTAAATGTCAGACTACAGAAAAGCACAATATGAACGAGAGGAGAGGTGGCGGGCTGAATCGCGGGATGAACAGAGCAAGTTGCGGGCTGAAGATGATAGGTGGTGTCAGCTTGCAGACAGAAGGCAAGAGTCGATGCTCCGGCTGCTGGAGCATCAAACTGATATGCTCCAGCGTATGGTTGAGCTGCAGGAAAGGCAGCAGGAGCAGAGACCGCCGCTACAGCCCCTGTGTAACCAACAGCCCTCCTCCCCAAGTTCCATAGCCTCCTCACCCAGACGCCCGAGAACACAATGGGGGGACCTCTGGCCACCCAGTCACTCCACCCCAGATGATTGCCCGAGCATCAGAAGGCTGGCCTTCAATAAGAGTTAAAGTTTTAAACTGCAGTGTGTCCTTTTCCTTCCCTCCTCCCCCACCCATCCCGGGCTACCTTGGCAATTATCCCCCTAGTTGTGTGATGAATTAATAAAGAATGCATGAATGTGAAGTAACAATGACTTTATTGCCTCTGCAAGCAGTGCTCGAAGGGGGGAGGGGATGGTGGGGTGTTTGGTGTACAGGGAAGTAGAGTGAACCGGGCGGGGGGGCGGAGGGTTCATCAAGGAGAAACAAACAGAAGTTTCACACCGTAGCCTGGCCAGTCACAAAACTGGTTTTCAAAGCTTCTCTGATGCGCACCGCGCCCTGCTGTGCTCCTGTAACCGCCCTGGTGTCTGGCTGCGCGTAATCAGCAGCCAGGCGATTTGCCTTAACCTCCCACCCCGCCATAAATGTCTCCCCCTTACTCTCACAGATATTGTGGAGCGCACAGCAAGCAGCAATAACAATGGGGATATTCTTTTCGCTGAGGTCTGAGCGAGTCAGTAAGCTGCGCCAGCGTGCTTTTAAACGTCCAAATGCACATTCCACCACCATTCGGCACTTGCTCAGCCTGTAGTTGAACAGGTCCTGACTCCTGTCCAGGCTGCCTGTGTACGGCTTCATGAGCCATGGCATTAAGGGGTAGGCTGGGTCCCCAAGGATCACGATAGGCATTTCAACATCCCCAATGGTTATTTTCTGGTCCGGGAAGAAAGTCCCTTCCTCCAGCTTTCGAAACAGACCAGAGTGCCTGAAGACGCGAGCATCATGTACCTTTCCCGGCCATCCCATGTTGATGTTGGTGAAACGTCCCTTGTGATCCACCAGGGCTTGCAGCAGCATTGAAAAGTACCTCTTGCGGTTTATGTACTCGGTGGCTTGGTGCTCCGGTGCCAAGATAGGGATATGGGTTCCGTCTATGGCCCCACCACAGTTTGGGAATCCCATTGCAGCAAAGCCATCCAGTATGGCCTGCACGTTTCCCAGAGTCACTACCCTTGATATCACCAGGTCTTTCATTGCCCTGGCAACTTGGATCACAGCAGCCCCCACAGTAGATTTGCCCACTCCAAATTGATTCCCAACTGACCGGTAGCTGTCTGGCGTTGCAAGCTTCCACAGGGCTATCGCCACTCGCTTCTCAACTGTGAGGGCTGCTCTCATCCTGGTATTCTGGCGCTTCAGGGCAGGGGAAAGCAAGTCACAAAGTTCCATGAAAGTGCCCTTACGCATGCGAAAGTTTCGCAGCCACTGGGAATCGTCCCACACCTGCAACACGATGCGGTCCCACCAGTCTGTGCTTGTTTCCCGGGCCCAGAATCGGCGTTCCACGGCATGAACCTCCCCCAGTAACACCATGATTTGCAAATTGCTGGGGCCTGTGCCTTGTGAGAGGTCATCAGGGAGAAACACAAACAACTGTCACCCAGAATGGCCCCCCCAAAGATTGAACTCAAAACCTTGGGTTTAGCAGGCCGTTGATTTCACGGAGGGAGGGGGAAGCAAATGAATACAGAACAAATCTATTTTTTACATCTTAAGCTGGCAGACAACAGTGCAGCATGACTGATAGCCCTCGGCATCTTCTGGGTGCTTGGCAGAAAATACTGGGCGCTTGGCAGAAAATAGCATACTACAACTGATAACCATCATCGTCAAGACAGTTCGATAGGACTGAGCATGTCTGCCCAGGTGCCCATGATTGACAGCCACTGCAGTACGACAACGACGGATACCAATCGTAATATACCATCTTCTACCAAAAGGCAAGGGGCTGCTGCTGTGTGCAATGCAGCCCCACGTCTGCCAGCCCCATGTCTGCCAGCACCCAGATCGCCGATGAAGGCTACCAGTCATACTGCACCGTCTACTGCCAAAAGGCAATTAGCTGCTGCTGTGTAGCAATGCAGTACCACGTCTGCCGGCACCCAGAGGACATATGGTGACGGTGAGCTGAGCTGAGCTGAGCGGGCTCCATGCTTGGCGTGGTATGTTGTCTGCACAGGTAACCCAGGTAAAAAGGCGCGAATCGATTGTCTGCCGTTGCTCTGACGGAGGGGGAGGTGCCTGACGACATGTACCCAGAACCCCCCGCGACACTGTTTTGCATCATTCAGGCATTGGGATCTCAACCCAGAATTCCAATGGGCGGCGGAGACTGCGGGAACTGTGGGATAGCTACCCACAGTGCAATGCTCTGGAAGTCGACGCTAGCCTCGGTACTGTTGACGCAGTCTGCCGACTTAATGCACTTAGAGCATTTTATGTGGGGACACACACAATCGGCTGTATACAACCGATTTCTATAAAACCGGCTTCTATAAATTCGACCTAATTTCGTAGTGTAGACATACCCTTAGATACTATGTGTTTCATTATTTCTCAGTGATATTGTTAATTGCGGATCATACTGCTCATTATAAATGGTTCTTAACCTTATTTCTACAACAGGGGTCTGCAGACCACTGGTTGAAAACCAGTGTTCTATGATAATAACAACCTTTCGCGGATCCCTTAGACATAGTCTGAGGACACCCAGGGGTCTGCGGACCATAAGTTGAAAACCACTGAACTAGACTTTATTTTTTAGAAAAAGATCCAATTTTGATTTAAAAATAGATCTGTCCAGAAAATAAAAATTCCATTTCACAAAAGATTTTTAGAAGTTTCAAAATTTGTCTTCATTCTGATGCAAAACAAAATGAGACCTTCTGAAATTTTTCACAAAAACACACGACAGCTACCTGCCCATCCCAGAATAGCCAGTGCTATAGAGTCTGTCTCAATCACTCCTGTTGGAGCTGTTCCACTTTCTATATCATAGAATCATAAGACTGAAAGGGACCTCGAGAGACCATCTAGTCCAGTCCCCTGCACTTAAGGCAGGACTAAGTATTATATAACTAAATATTCAGTGAGGAAGAGATGTGTTGACTTTCTAAGGCCACTGATTAGGGTACTTGCCTAGGATGTAGGAGAGCCAGGTTTGAAACTCTGATCTGCATGATTTGGGGCAGAAATTTGAACCTGGCTTCCCCCCAGCCCTGATGAGTGCCCTAACCACCAGGCTATTAGCTAGTCTGAGTGGGGTCTCTCTCTTCCCCTTCCACCCCCCAAAATTTCAGCCTGCACTTCAGATATCTTCCTGGCAATTTTTTAAACCAAAACTTCCAAAAACAATTTTGATGAAATGGCATTTTTTAAAGAAAAAGATTTTGTCAAAAATTATCTCAACCAGCTCTATTTAAAAACTCAAGGGATAGAAGATTTACCACATTTCTTGGTAATCTTTTCCTGTGTTTGATTATCTCATTGTTAAAAGTTTTGCCTTATTTCCAGTTTGAACGTTGCTGACTTCAACTTCCAGCCACTGATTATCGTTATGCCTTTGTCTCCTATATTAAAAAGCACTCTAATATGAGATATCTCTTCTCTTTGTATGTGATTATAGACTGTGATCAGGTCACCTCTAAACCTTGTGTTTGATTAACTAAATAGGTTGAGATTCTATAGTCTCTTGTTGTAAGGCATTCAACTCTTCTCTATATCTTATCCAATTTTTCAACATCTTTTTTAAAATTTGGACCCCAGAACTGGACACAGTATAGTAGTCTCATCAATGCCCTATACAGAGGCAGTATCACCTCTCTACTCTTGCTTGATATTTTCTTGATACCTCCAAATATTGTCTTAGTCCTTTTTTGCCATAATATTGTTCTGAAAGCTCATGTTAGAACATGAATATGGCCATACTGGGTCAGACCAATTGTCCATCTAGTCCAGTATCCTGTTTTCTGACAGTAGCCAGTGCCAGATGGTTCAGAGGGAATGAAGGTTAATTTTTCACTTGGCTGAGAAGAAGTGAATCTGGCCTCTTTTACATCAGTTAACTCTTACATTAGGAGTAGTAAGCATTTTATTCTTAGTAGTAAGAGATTTTAGTTTAATGCAATTTTCTGCAGTTGCATCTGTAGAATAAATCACTTGTTAGGTTTAAAAAAAATACTCAAAGTCACTTCAGCGCCCTCATTCTAACACATTTCCCATGCATTCAGTGTTAGGATTGCCAGAACTGTGTGCAGGTTTGTCACCTGTTGTGAGAGTGGGAGTAGTCAAAATGGTGTTTGAGGAAGGCTGAGAAATGTTTGCTTGAGTGCTGGTTGGAGTATGGTTCACGGATGGTGAGGTGGTGTGCAAGCGTGACAGATTGGAAGCATCTGCAAGGACAGAACAAATTAGTATTAGAAAGTGAGTTTGTTTTTCATGTAATCATATCATAAACGTCTTGGACTATGTACTTTCTTCTTGTAATTATCTTACCAAAAGATTGAACAGAGCTGCAAGTAAGGTTGTGTTAGTATTTCCATTAAAGAACAAAACAAGAATCTTTAACTAGAATTCACAATATCAGGACTCTTTTATATGTCAATCAGTTCTCAAATATATGGGCCATAATGAAGTCAACAGAAGCTTTGCCTGAATAAGGGCTGCAGGTTTTATCCCATTGTGTGAACATAGTTTTGCCCATAGTTCTTATCATTAGGCACAATTCCACAAACTACTAAACATAGTGCTTACACCCATGAGACTCCTCATGGTGTAGGCCAGTGATTCTCAAACTTTTGTACTGGTGACCCCTATCACACAGCAAGCCTCTGTGTGCAACCCCCCCCCTTATACATTAAAAACACTTCTTTACATATTTAACACAATTATAAATGCTGGAGGCAAAGCAGGATTTGGGGTGGAGGCTGACAGCTCGCGACCCCCCATGTAATAACCTCATGACCCCCTGAGGGGTCCCGACCCCTAGTTTGAGAACCCCTGGTGTAAGCACTACCCTCAGCAGTATGTGTTTGCCAGGTCAGGTATGCTACCTACAGTGCCTTGGTATTTACTTCATTGCTTAGAAACCACTCACTGTTTGTTTTATCAGTGTCACTGTTTACTGGGCCAGTTCCTGCAGCTCTTGCTTTGGCAAAACTCTCATTGACTTGCAGGAAGAGTTTTGCCTGAATAATGACTGTAAGATCAAGTCATATGCTGGAAATAAAACACAGAAACACCTTGTGGTCTTGCGTCAGTTGTGAAGCTTAGGAACATTTTCAGTTTGTTGAGCAGTAAGTGTGATAAACTGCCAAACTACACAATTTTCTCCATGTACAGCTCAAGCAATTGTATTATTGCCAACCTGGGTAATCTAAAGGAATACAGCAAACCTGATGGTTTATATGTGGTGGTAGCAGGAGTGAGTGAAGTAAGGGCAGCAGTGCTGCTGTGTGGCTGATTGCTGGATCCAAAGGAAGAGTTTGAGTCTGCATGAGTGCTGGGGTTTGTGCTGCTTGTTGGAATGATGCCTGTAGTAAGGAAGTACAATAGTTCTGTTAGTGCTTCCTAACATATCATGCACAGACAATGACAACAAAGTCACACATAAAGAAGGTATCTATTCCTGAATAGATAACGTTAAAAGAAGGAAAACTGAGACCGTATATTTTAGGCAGTTATACAATTTCATTTTGTTTCTTATATGTAAGGCCAAAATCAAAAGTAGAAACATGCATTCTATAAGAAAAGAAACCAGAGTTGCAAAGCATCTATGAGTTGAGAACCTGACGTGTTCAATGCCCTCAGTTCTCACTGGGCCTGACACTGCTGCAGCTGAAGTCAAAGGTGAGACTTTCATTGGCTTCATGGGATCAGGATAAAGCTAGTTGATTCTGATGGTAGCTGAGGTTGCTCAGCCCCCTGTAGATTCAGGTGCTGAGAGAGAGAGAGGTTTACCCTGGTAATTTTAATAACTGTTCCAAAACAATAATATAAATGTCACTATTAGCCTCTAATATTCTCTTACGTATAAAACCAATGTAAAAACTAATCTATTGTCCCATCTTATTTGAATAACTCAGTAAAGATCAGATTCTGTTGGTAAATACTTTTATAGACATTGTACAAGTGTGCACAAGGTCATACATCCCAGTCAGTGGCAAAGCCAAGGAACAGAAGTTGGGAATCCTTACTCTCAGTCCCCTGATCTAACCACCACACAGCACTCTCAGAGGATATAAAATCTTCCCTAGGATTCTCAGTTGATTCATATTCTTTAGACTGGTTTGAAAGAAGTTAAGAATAAATGTATGTTCAAAAATGGCATGTAATCAGTATTCATTACTTTAACTCTTTGAATAGGGAAATGGAAGCTAAAATTCATCTCTTGAAATACCTGTATGTAATATATACCATATATACCTATAAATAACCTAAAGGACCACTGGATGTCATCATTGCTTCACAAAAGAAAAAATAAATAAACCAAGTTTTATCTAACAATGAATCATAACTTCTAACCTGATTGCTATTTTTTTTTTTTAATTTCAAGAGATTTGGCATCTTGGTTCCACTTTTGTCCAACTCTATTGTCTGTTTTTCATCTTCTGCATCACAGTTGCCAATTTTCACGCGATAAATAAGCACCCCGACTTTCACAATAAGCCAAAAATCAAGCTAATCCCATTTCAAAACAAGACCAAAACAAGCCAATCCCTAAGAACCCCAACACTCTATGTGACTAGATCCCCCCGGTGTGCAGTCTGGGACTGTCGTGGGCCTGCTATGCACCCCTGACCCTCCCCCGCCCTCCTATGCCCACCTTGCCCCTGCTTGCCGGCAGCCAATCAAAAAAAAGAAGAAGCAACAAACTACAACAAGCAACAAGCTACACGACAAACAAGCAATAAGCTACAAGCCAAAAACTAGCCAACAAGCAACTCACAAGCCAATTAAGCCAAAAATAAGCACAATTTCTGTGTTTTTTTCGCAGGTTTGGCATGTCTGTTCTGCATGTTCAAAGGGCACATTGGTACCTCTCACTGTACTATTCTACTGCTATTTCAGTCTTCCTATAGTGTTTCTCTGCCTTCAGCCCCAGTTTCACTGTCCTCTCTCTCATTCTCAGCTGTGACCTCTTAACTCTTTGTTTGCAGATAAAGATAATACGATTTTGTAAGTGTGTGGTAAAGTGCTATTATATGATGAAGAACCTGAATTCTCTTATTTGTGCTATATTTATATTACTGGTTTTTTTACTGTATAGATCTGGTCCCAAGCCGGTGAATTCAGCGGAAAGACTTCAGCTGACTTCAGTGGGCTTTGGACTCTTCTTTTAATTCTATTGGGGTTTTCTGTAATTTTTGTAAAAGTTTAACTCCTCTGCTAGGTCAGATAAATGTGGAACCACTATCTGGAAGTAACAAAACAAAACAATTATGAACACATTTTCTGTTTAAACTAGCATACACAATTCAGATCCTACCATATTCTATTATTTGTATTAATTATTTGTATTTCAGTCATGCCTGGAGGCCAAGGCTCCATTGTGCTAGGCACTGTACCAACATATAACAAAGACACAGTCCCTGTCCTGAAGAACTTACAATCTAAATGAATATGTTAAGTGAGTGAGATATGTTCAGTAAAATACATGTAAACCACAAATTCAGACAGAAGCAAACTGGTTCATTTGGTTCCTCCTTTTTAAACCAGTCTATATTATTTCACCTGTGATCTCACTATTCTAAATGTAAAGGCATTAAACAATCTAGAAGATAATACTTGTACACACAAAGGATTTGTCTTATTAGACGTTAACACCACCACAATATAAGCAAATTTCATAGAGAAGTGTTGCAGTTCTGTAAGGAAAGTAAAATAGTTCTCTTACCAGTTCCATTAGATTTCGGCTCATTCCCTAAAAGGAATAAAAACAGGAGTAAATACAGTATGTCAAGAGAAGGTTATACACATTTGTGTCCGTACATTAAGGCCCCAATCCTGCAATCCGATTAATTCAAACAGATCCTTGCCCCATGCAGGAGAAGGGCTTTGGCACCTGACTCATGAAGGTATATGAGCACATGCCTGACTTTAAGCACGAGTAGTCCTGGAGAAGGCAATGAATTAAGTTGCAGCATACAAAAAAGCACATGCATTCTAGGTTCTTTAGTTCCTGCCGTTTACTTGGAAGGGAGCTGATTCACCTGAATCACTGACCTCTCCCTATGTGCCTCACATGATCAGCACACGCCAAAAGTGTGCAACTCTTAAACAGCACTGAAAACTGAGAACTGGAAGCACATAGATCAGGAAAAGGGTCGGTGAAGCATAGTGATAAAAACCTATAATTATATTGGTTTTATGATGTTACCTGTCACTTTGCAACTTCATTTCTATATATTTTTGTTTATACTAAAATTTGGAAACATTAATCATATTTGATTTTAATTTAAGCAATAAAAACAAAATAATGTTTCTGGAATGTTTACAAATTAGGATGTAAGATAATGGGCCAGAGCCTCAGCTGGTGTAAATCAATGTATCTCCACTTAAGTCATTGGAGCTGGCTAGATTTACACCACCTGAGGATCTGGCCCAATACTACCGAGTGAGACTAACTGGTGCTATACCAAAGAGTGCTTTTCAGTTGTCCATGGGGAGAGAAGAACCATTCTTTTCTTCCCAACTTCACACTGACTGCTCCTGGGATTCCCTGTCATCTAAAAAGATTTTAACCTTGTAGGTCACTCATCCCATTCTAATAAGATTTATTTGGGGAGTCATCTTGTAGCTTGATATTGGTAGTCTGGGATTCTGATGGAATGGGCGTGGGATGGAGATTTCCCAAAGATGTTTGTAACTAGAGGTGAAATGGTTCTCTCAGGTGTAGAGGATGTAAAAATGGAGGTTCAATACCAGTCTATATAACCCTATAGCACCTGGTGATACATAACTGACAGGAACTTAACTGTGAAATGTACAGTATAAATAGCAATTGTGTTTATTCTGTAGTGCTTTCTTTAATCCAGAATGTGAATTCAAGGCATGAGACACTGAGCTCCATTATTTCATCCAGGTGCTTAATTATCTGTCATGCAGTACACTGTCTACCGTAGAACAACATGTACTATACAAGAAACAAGTTAAAACTAGAACTAGTTTAATTTGTTAATTCTCTGTGATAGGCTGTGACACCTGAGTGAAGGAAACCTCCACATCTGAGTTGGAGTTCAAGCACTTGGGAGGCAAAGGTAGAATGAGAACTCAAACAATGCCCGATGCCTTTAAGGCCATTTTTATGTATATATATAAAGAAGGCTTCCCTCAGCTGTGGGCCTCAGCTATAGTACAAATATATGATGCTGAGCCCAATCCCTTCCAGCACCTCTGTGGGTTCCCTTCACCATATCACACCCCCATATTAGTATTTTTGGTAAACAGCCTACAGTGAAATATTCCCAGTTCACTGTTAGGAAATGTAGCTTTAGAAGCATCAGGACTATGGATCAGATTTTACAATATGGCTGCCTAAATTGCACATGCACCTGCACATGCTCATGCTTTTATGCATGCAAAATGGATACTTATGCATGCACTTACCTGTCGTGCACGCACAAATTCTATGGATACAATTAGCAATAGGTGCCTGCATTTGAGAATGTGGCCCTGTGTTTCTAAAAAAGAAATTACATTAAATTGGCTATCAGCCAGGATGGGCAGGACGCAAAACCATCCTCTAAAGCAGGGGTCGGCAACGTTCGGCACGTGGCTCGCCAGGATAAGCACCCTAGCGGGCCGGGCCAGTTTATTTACCTGCTGACGCGGCAGGTTCGGCCGATCGCAGCCCCCACTGGCCGCGGTTCGCCATCCCGGGCCAATGGGGGCGGCGGGAAGCCGCAGCGAGAGCATCCCTCGGCGAGCCGCGTGCCGAACGTTGCCGACCCCTGCTCTAAAGTGTCCCTAGCCTCTGTTTGCCAGAATCTGGGAATGGGCGACAAGGGATGGATCACTTGATGATTACCTGTTCTGTTCATTCCTTCTGGGACACCTGGCATTGGCCACTGTCAGAAGACAGGATACTGGGCTAGATGGACCATTGGTCTGACCCAGTATGGCCATTCTTATGTTCTTATGTTTTAAGCTTTAAGAGTCTGATTCTCATTTACCTAAAGCCTCTTTGCATTTTGTTCTGGCATCATCAAGAGGTCTTAAGGTAAATGAGAATCAGATTCTAAATATATCAAGGATATACAAATATTTTGAAATATTTCCCTAATTTAATTATTTAATGTACTATTCATGTGAGGTAAGCCAGTGTAAAGGATTACAACTGTAAAGGATTGTTGTAACGTCTGTGTGGTGGAACTAGATGTCAGTTCAGGGAAAACAATCTGAGAACAAAACTGTGCCCCGTGTTTCACTTTTACCTTCATTTTTGCCTGTAGGTGAGTGTGGAGTGGAGAGTGCAGATAGAGGTGATGTGCTTGTGGGCATGGGAGAATTTGTAGTTTCTGTTGTTCCTTCTCCTGTCACATGATGGAGAAAATATTATTAATTGAATAGTGTACATAGCGGAAAAGTACAATTTAAATAGAAAAAAAAAGTCAGCTGCCATTAGTTTTCCAGCTAGGACCATATTTCTTATTACAGCATTGATTACAGTGGGATAACTTCACGATGCTCTCTTATATATACACAACAAGAAGGCAGAGGTGTTTAATGCCTATTTTGCTTCGGCCTTCACTAAAAAAGGCAAATTGTGACCAAATATTTAACACAATTAATATTTACAACAAGGGACATGGCAAGCAAGTCAAAATAGGGTAAGAATAGGATAAAGAATATATAGATAAGTTAGATGTATTCAAGTCAGCAAGGGTCTGATGAAATTCACCTTCGGGTACATCAGGAACCAGCAGAAGCAATCTTGAAATCAGTAGTGATTATCTTTGAGAATTCATGAGGATGGGTGACATCCCAGAGGACTGGAGAAGGGCAAACATAGTACCTATGTTTAAAAACTGGGGACGGGGGGAGAAGACCTGGGGAATTATAGACTAGTGAGCCTAAGTTTGATACCTGGAAAGATACTGGAACAATCAATTTGTGAGCACCTAAAGGATAATAGGATTGTAGGTAATAGACAACATGGGTTTGTCAAGAACAAATTATGCCAAACCAACCTATTTTCCTGCTTTTACAGGGTTACTGGACTAGTGCATGGGTAGAAGCCACAGAGGGGATATATCTTGATTTTAGTAAGGCTTTTGACACTGTCCTATGACATTCTCATAAGCAAACTAGGAAAATGAGATCTAGATGAAATTACTCTAAGATGGGGGCACAACTTGTTGAAAGACTGTAATCAAAGAGTATGGTTCACTGTCAAACTGGGCGACATATCTAGTGGGGTTCCCTAGGGGGTCTCTCCTGTGTTTGGTACTATTCAACATTTTCATTAATGACTTGGATAACGGAATGGAAAGCATGCTTATAAAATGTGTGGATGACACTAAGATGGAGGGAGTTGCAAGTACTTTGAAGGACAGAATTAGAATTCAAGATGACCTTGAAAAATTAGAGAACTGGTCTGAACTCAAGAAGAGCTTTAACAAAGACAAGTGTAAAGTACTACACTTAGGAAAAATCAAATACACAACTAGACAATGGGGAATAACTGGCTAGGCAGTAGTACCGCTCAGAAGGCACTAGGGATTATAATGGATTACAAATTGAACATGAATCAATAATATGATGGAGGAAAAAAGCTAATATTCTAGGGAGTATTAACAGGAGTGTCACATGTAAGACACAGGAGGTAATTGTTCCACTCTACTCAGCACTGGTGAGTCCTCAGCTGGAGCACTATGTCCAGTTTGGGGCGCCAGAGTCTAGAAAAGGTGTGGACAAACTGGAGAGAGTCCACAAGAGAGCTACAAAAGATGTTAAAAGTTTAGAAAACCTGATCTATAAGAAAAGGTTAAAAAATGTGGGCATGTTTTATCTTGAGGAAAGAAGACTGAGGGGGAACCTGTCTCAGTGCAGGGGGCTGGACTAAATGGCCTCTTGAGCACCCATAATATTGTCTGACTTCACTGGAGCTGTGGTCCCTCAGCAGCTCTGAAAGTCAAGTTCCATATTTACATGCCTAAATTCACATTTATATCTTCCAAGAAGGCATTTGGTCTTGCTTTGAAGCTATCAAGAGATGGAGACTCCACCAGTTCCCTTTGTTTGTTCCAATGTTTGTTCCAATGGCTAGTCACCATTACTCGTAAGAAATTGTGCTTGCTTTCTAATTTGAGTTTATCTGGCTTCAGCTTCCAGCCATTGGGTCTTATGCCTTTCTCTGCTAGATTAAAGAGCCATTTAGTACCCAGTAATTTCTCCCTGTGAAGATACCACTACACAGTACTCAAATCTCCTCTCAATCTTCTTTTTGACATGTGAAACTGATTGAGTTCTTTAAGTCTCTCACTGTAAGGCATTTTTTCCAGTCCTCAAATCTTTCATGTGTCTCTTTTCCACACTCTTCCAAATTTTTCAACAGCCTTTTTAAAATGCGGACACCAAAACTGGAGCCAGTATTGTAGGACAGGTTTCGTCAGTGAATACAGTGCTTTATACAGATGACAATAGGTGCCCTTAGGCCTTTAGATGTCCTAAGAGCCTTGAATTCAGTAAAATTAGTATTATGAGGGAGGGAGACAGAAATAAATGACCCTGGCTGAGTGTAACACTGACAGACCCCGGGCATCAGCGGGCGGGATCGAAACGGGGACTTCGGGAGCTCAGTGCATGGGTCTCTACCGCAAGAGCTAAAAGCCAAAGGGCTGTTAGCTAAGGCTGTAGAGCAGACTCATTAATTTCTCTCTAAGTGGTCTTGGTGCCACTAGATGGGACAGAGCACCACATCCAGAAGGTGTGGGGGTTACATGAGCAAGTCAAGTAACAGCAGCATGAGCACACTTTGGAGAAGAACAGTAACAACCAAAATGCCACTTAAGGCTCAGTCCTTCACATCTGAAGGCTTTATTATCTCCCCCTTACACACACACGCTCACTGAATTGTCTTCATCACTGCACCTCTCACTCATTGTTCTGTCCCAAAAGATACTCAAGAAGCTCCCACTCTCAACAGAAGTCCTGAGACACATCCTAAAAGAGCCCCTGATGCCTTGTAACATCTCTGGTTCTATAACAGAATGCCATAATTTTGGCAAACAGCAAGACTCCACATGTTCAATATTTCTCTGCTGGAAGCTCTCTCCCTTTCTCAGCTAGTGCTTCTTCATTACACCACCACCCTGTTAATTTGCTGGCTGCATTCTGTGTCTCTCCACTAGCACCTCACTGCTTATTATCTCTTCTTTACTTCACCTTCTGCACATGATGCTTCATAACTATGATGTCTGTACCTCTTTGAATACAGACTCCTTCAACCCTTTAAAACAAAGCTCAAGGCTCAACCATCACAACTTAAACAGAAGACAAGGATAGCATAAGGGATACACATGCTTTCGACCTGCTGACATGCCAGGCTCAAAATTGGTCTCTAGTCTCCAGCACAGAAGCTCAGCATAGTCAGACCTTCAGGGACTCAAAAGGATTTCTCCTCATCAGCCAGACAAGCAACATCATAATAGTTCAGCTGCTCAAAAGATACTACAAGTTCCACAATCCATCTGGGCAGTTTAAAAAAAACCCCAAAATGTAGCCACCGAGTTTAAATAAGGCACCCCAGGAAAATGCTCAGTTGCTAAGTAGCCAAAAGCCTGATGGAACTTTAAAAAAGCTCACGTACATTAAAAAAACGAGATAGAAAGAAACCAGAGGTGAAATCCTGACTCCAGCGAAGTCAATGATAAAAACTCCCATCAACTTCACTGGGACCAGGATTTCACCCTAGGTCTCTTTTTACTAACATTTGTAAAAAGCCAATAACTTAGTGTATTAGAGCAGATATATTATCTAGAACTAAAATAAAACTGGTAGAAAGATAATGCTGAAACAGCCATCCTAGTACTAATGTGTACGAGTAGGGTTTTTCTAGTGGGTTCATTCCTGTTATCAACCATACAGCACCACCATAGATCCTCCAAAACCACCTACACTTCTCACTGCTATTAAGGCAGTAAAGGTAAAACTTCATTTGAATGCATCTTTGCAGAAACTGAATAAGGAGTTGCAAGCCAGGTCAAAGTGAAATTTTATTTAGAAGGTACTGAAATGCTCACAATGAATTCTTCTCTCTATTCATCTAGTGTAAATATGATGAAGATATGGTCAGACACTCTAAGATGTAGTGCTTCAAGAGAGGTATGATCTGCTGGTCTGAGCACAAGCTGGAATAAGAAATCACTGAGTTCTAATCCTCGCTGTGACACTGGCTCCTTTGTGACTTGGGCAGATCCCTTAACCTCTCTATGCCTCTAAAAAATGTGGAATAAATGGTACTAAGTTAACTACCATGCAGGGATGTTTGAAGGATTCATTAATTGTTTGTAAATCTCTTTGATGATGACTACTGCCAAGTATTATTATTAAACAGCTTTACTACAGATGATGGTAACAGTGCTATCTTTCCTTTTCTTGTATTGTTCTCTGAACAGATTTTTGTGGCAATTTTATGACAAACATTCCGTATGCCTCATATTTCTTTTTAATTTAATTTACTATAGTAACAGAGTAAGATGCAGTTAGTATTAACTCAGTAGGTGGCACCATAACACCAAAAAACTCTCAAACACTGTGCAGTTGTATCTCCTATTATAATCCTGTTGTGAGATACCAGACAAATTGAATAGCGCCTTTTAAAATGATGAAAATGGAGATCACAGGGAACTTGATCTTCAAAATAAAAAATCACATTACTCCAATACCAATACATGTATTGTTAACATGAATTTACTTTTCCCAATGTGGCCCACTACAATTCAAAATATTTCAGTGATTGTATTGGAAAATCACCCTTGAAGTCACAACTTTCTGCCCCTGGCCATATCAATCAGCAAGCATGTTTCTAAAATTCGTAGCTGGAATGAAACTAAAGGATATCTCCAAAGCTCTACATGTAAGTTGTTCTGAATACAAAAAGTACAATATGTTGTAAGAAAGTCTGACAATCACTAAGACATTAAGGGATTGGCAACCCAGTCTGGATGAAATAGGGAGCATCCCAAACCTTTACTGAAATCTCAGACTTAATCAAACCTTAAATAATTTTTGAGATGATGTGGAAGTTATTGACTCATACATATAGCTCCTGGAAGGGGAGGAAAATGTAAGGTATGCAAAGAGTTTCCTCTAACTAAGACATGTGTAGACCTCCCCCTCTTGGCTCACTTGATAGATTTTCAGCCTATTAGCCATGAAGGTCCAGATTATATACTTATTCAGGTAATTTGCAGAAAGCACATTCACAGCAAATCCAGCCAACGGATGGAAGACTTGGCTAATTGCTTTAGTTCACTCCGTCTAGTTGGACGACACAATTGCAGCTGCTTCTTGGAAAAGGCTTTAGATG